TGTCTTCCAAGTTTTTAATTTCTCTCGCGCGCGATTTCTATTTCTTTGTAGATTTACTCTGTCTTTTAATCTTTTTTCTTTCTTTTTTTAGAAAGTAAGAGAGAGTGAGTGTGCATGTTGGGGGAGGGTAGGGAGGAGGGAAGAGAATCTTAAGTAGACTCCGAGCCCAGCCCAGAATCCAACCCGGGGGCTCAGTCTCAGATCGTGAGATGAGATGGTGATCTGAGCCTAAACCAAGAGTCAGATACTTAACTGACTGAGCCACCCAGGTGTCCCTACGCTTTTTTTTTTTTTTTAAGATTTTATTTATTTATTTAGCAGAGATCACAAGCAGGCAGAGAGGCAGGCAGAGAGACAGGGAGGTAGCAGTCCCACTGCTGAGCAGAGAGCCCGATGTGGGGCTCGATCCCAGGACCCTGAGACCATGACCTGAGCCGAATACAGAGGCTTTAACCCACTGAACCACCCAGGCGCCCCCCAAGCTTGCTTGCTTGCTTGCTTGCTTTCTTTCTTTCTTTCGCCTTCCCTATCACCAAGTTGGGTCTTAACAGTGACTATTCTATCATTTATTTATTTATTAAAGATTTATTTATTTACTCGAGAGAGAGAGAGAGCATGAGTGGAAGGCACAGAGGGAGAGAGAGACAGACAGACAGAATCTCAGGCAGACTCCCCACTGAGCACAGAGCCTGACACGGGGCTCCATCCCATGACCCCGAGATCACAACCCGACCTGAAACCAAGGGTCAGCACTCAAGCAGCTCTGCCACCCAGGCGCCCAACAGTGACTATTTAATCTTTTAATATTTTCATTAAAAATGTTTTTAGTTCCAAAAAGTTTATGTTCATGTGCGCATGTGCTGTGATGCCCGGAATCTTCTTATTTTAATTCAGCTTTTGTCTGACTCCTCCAACAATTTTTTTCTCTATTTCTTTCTCTATTACTAGTATTCTTTCTTTTTTTTTTTTTTTTAAGAGTTGCTTATTTATTTGAGAGAATGCAAGTGCATGAGCAGGGGAAGGGGCAGAAGGAAAGGGAGAGAGAGAATCTTAAACAGACTTGTGGCTGAGTGTGGAGCTTGACACAGGACTCGATCTCACAACCCTACGATCATGACCTGAGCTGAAATCCAGAGTCAGACACTTTACTGACTGAGCCAGCCAGGTGCCTCCCTATCGTGAGTGTTCTGATAATTATTTCTCTGAGACCACCTGGTCGCTTTAAGGTACTGTATTAGCTTCTTACTGCTGCTGTAGCAAATTAGCCCATTACCATGTGGCTTGACAAGACCCAGATATATTGTCTTACAGTTCTGGAGGTCAGAGGTCTGAAATCAAGATGTCAGTGAACTTCATGACTTCTGGAGGCTCTAGGGAAAAATTCATTTCCATGTTTCCTGCTTCTAGAGCTGCTTAGTATTCCTTGACTTGTGGCTCCATCCTCCATCTTCTGTGATCATGTTACCTTCTCTGGCTCTGGCCCCCTGCCTCCTCTTATAAGGGTTTTTCTGATTATATTGGGCCCAGTGGATAATCCAAGATCATCCCCCTCTCAAGATCCTTAATCACGTCTGCAAAGTCCCTTTTGCCATGTAAGGTCATATATATCCCCAGGTTCCAGGGACTAGGACGTACATGTCTTTGAAGGGATATTATTCTGTCTACCACCTTACTTAAATGAAGCCACTCTGTGAATGAGGGAAACAAAATGGTGCCTGCCCCTGTGGGCCTGCAAGGGTGGCAGCGGACATGTCATCAGTTCTCTGTTATAACACTGGGAGGAAGGCTCCCTGACCCCTCCTCTTCTCAGCTACTCGGACTTATATGTTCTGGCCTTTGCATAAAAGACACATTTACCTCCCTTCCTCCTCTGCAGCTTCTTGGAACTCAGGAAGACCAGTAGGTTCCTACCAAAGTACCATAAGGGACCAGAATTACCCTCCCCCTGGGTTTCTATGATAGTTAATCTTATGTACCAACCTGACTAGGCCATGGAACCTTCACATTTGATTAAACTCCAGTCTACACGTTGATCTGAAGGTATTTTTCAGGTGAAATTACATCTAAAACAGTAGACTTTGAGTGAAGCAAAGTACCTTCCATAGTGTGGGTGGGTCTCATCTAATCCATTGAAGGCCTTAAGAGCAAAAGACTGAGGTCCCTCAAGAAAGAGGAAATTCTGCCTCTAGGCTGCCTTCAGACTCAAGCTGCAGCATCAGATCTTTCCGGGGTCTTCAGCTTGCTGGCCTGCCCCGCAGATTTTAGATTTACCAGACCCACGATGGTGTGCGTCAATTCCTTAAAATCAGTCAGTCAATTAATCAATCTCTTTCTGTATATTCATACACACACACACACACACACACACACACACACACACACACACACCTTATCAGTTCCTTTTCTCTGAAGAACTCTGACTACTCCAGGTCCATAGATCTCTACAGGCCAAGCCCTCTCCAAGAAGACTTCTCCAACCTTATTGTAGGATTGGTTGTGGGTCCCACAGCCCCTCTCTTATCCGATGTGGGAGGCTCGCGTGGGCCGACTCTCTCTGAGAGAGAGCCCAGAGGTCTCCTTCCACCTTCCAGGTTCCCCCAGAATTGTTTGGAGTTGGGAGAGGAGCAGACCATGGGGACATTTAAGATAACATTTTCCCAAAATTTTGTCAGGATTCTTTTTTAGCCTCATTTTATATCCAGACTTCTGTTAGCTTACCAGAATTTTATCATTCTCTTATTGGATTACTATGTATCTTATGTCTTGATCTAAGACACTGATAAAAACATAAAACAGAGGAGAACCAAAGATACCCATCCCAGAAACTCTCTCTTTAGGATCCAATTATTTTTTCATTTAATCCCTCATTCTTCTCAGACTCTGTTTTTAGGAATTAAGTTTACTTTTGTTCTCATTTTTGTGTGGGGAACTTGGTAGTCTTGTATCAGAGGTCCCAAGTTTAACTGTTGTTAAAGTCCCAAGTTGATTCCCTCTTAGGAATCAATGTTTTCCTTCCTGGGGATTACTTGCAGTGTGGCCTCCCAGATCCCCTGCCTTGGCTCCTGCCCCCCCAACCCTGCCTCCTAATGGACTAACAATCCCTTGCTAAGCTCAGTAAACAACTTCAAACCTTCCACTCTCAGCTCTGAAGCCAACCCTGCCTCTAGCTGTGGGGCATTTCAAAAGTGAAAGTCAATAGATCAAGTGAGTCCTGATAAAGTCTAATACGTTGCTGGGTGTTCTTGAACTGGCCCTTGTTCTAGAAGCCAAGTTCATTGCTACCACCTAGAACTCAGTTCCAGTGTTTCTGTCTCTCTGTCTTTTTAAAAAGATTTATTTATTAATTTTGGAGAGAGCTAGAGCGAGTGTGGGGAGGGGGAGGCGCAGAGGGAGAGGGAGAGAGAGCCAGAAATTTATGCAGACCCCATACAGAGCAGTGAGCCTGGGGGGCTCAATCCTAGGATCCTGAGATCACCAGGCGAAATTGAGTCCTACGTGAACCCACGGCACCACCCAGGTGTCCCTCCAGTGGCTCTTCACTTCTTAGTTTGTAGCCTGACAACCAGCAATCCCTTCAGTGGGTCCTGCGGCTGCCAGACTTGTGGGACGTTACTGCTTGTCCCTTTGGATCATCAGGTGCTACCCTCTCCCCACCTCCTGGTCTCAGGGGTCTGCACAGCACCCGGGTCTGCCTTCTTCTCTGGACTGCTGCGGTGCTAATCCCCACGCAGGCCGTTGCCAGCCACAGTCCTCTTGGCAGGGGATGCCCTGCCTGCTGGTGGATCCCCTTCCTCCCAGCATCTGTCTTTGCCTCATGACCGAGCCTAGACTTCTGACGCACACCCCTCCTGCCGTCCTGGCCCACCCACCCACCCTCCCCAACCCCAAGCTTCCATTCTGGTAGAAAAGATATGGAATTTGGAGACTCCCCAGCAGGGCAGCTGCTCCTTGGAGATGGGAGCAGGTGTGGCTGGGGTGGGGCGGGGTGGGACCTCATTTTGTCCGTGTTCAACTGTATTAAGCTCTGAGTTGTTATAAAAAAAAAATTGATTTTGCTTAATCCTATTAGACTCTTGATTGTTAAGGACAAAATGTGATTTTCACATTCTCATTGTACCTCCCCAAATATATAATATAATATATTAAATTGCCCTTCACCAACAGCTCTCCTATAGCTCACGAACTATAAGGTTTGGTTCTCTTATAAAGCTGGATGGGGAAGATGTGAGAGTGTGCGGCCGTGTTGAAAACCCCGTGTTAGCCTGAGCATAGGAAAAGAATGGTCAGGAACATTTTCTTCCAGCTCTTCTCAGACAGCAGCCGAGGAGCCTTAGCACGTTTTTGTTTTTTTTTACACTTTGGTGACTCATTTCCTCACTTGTAACACAGAAATCCTGAGGCAGTGCCAACCAGCCATAAAATGCTGTTATGAAAATTCCAGTCGTGGAGTAATTAAAACGTCGTTTCATATATGATTTTGACGTTATGCCTTTATAATACAATACTCCAGGGTTTGACTATCTGACATTATTTCTGGCTCTGCTTGTTGTGACTAGAAACTGTGAACTCTAGAGACCGGGATGGAAAATCACTCTCTGCCCAGCACCCCGGACCACGGTGTCCATAAAAGGCAATGTGCTGGCTCGAGAAATCACACGATTTCATAACAAACCTGTGATCCCCGCTGCCCCCTTCACATCCGAAAGCACACTGGCAGAGAATGGAGAAAATTCTCATTTTTTCACATGCTTCCAGCTCCTAGCTCCTTGCCCGAGTCTTGAGGTTAAAAAGACATTTATTTCCCTGTAGACCTATTATCGCTTCTGGAGGAAGAATATTCCATAGTCCTACGCGGTAGCCTCTCTCCTAATGCAGAAATCCCATCTACAAGATTCATAGATGACCTGCCAAGGTCAATTCATTCATTCATTCATGCCTCAAGTGCTTCCTGCATTGCTAGACATGGAGCTAGGGCCCCCCACCCCGCCGCCCAGCATCGGCAAAGACTGAGATGAACATTCATTCACGTGCGAGTAGTTTATTTGAGAGAGGGTCCTAGGAGATACAGGACGTGGTGACTGTGTGACAAGGAAGGGGAGGAAGGTGACAGAGCATCCATTACTGAGTAAGTTACCACTGTGGGCAAATAGAGCACAGTCCTACCAAGGAACCTGAAAACTGTGGCTCCAGAATTCACCCATCCGAGGGACAAGGGAGCTGGGCTGTTTATTCACCAGGTCTCTGTTTGTCGTCATGCTTTCAGGGGAATTAATTGTCCAACACATCTGACTTCCCTGGGTGCACATCCCAAGGCCAGAAAAAAACTTCAAGTGGATATTTTCAGGAGTCAGTGGTAAGTAGCCTTTGACTTCAGACGTGAACACCGAGGGGGTTGGCGTGGGGGGACACCCATAGCTTCTGCTATGTACAGGCAGACAGAATTCAGATCCCCTCTTTACCTCCCTCCTTTTGACCTGAAGGAGGGAACATGACATGGGCTCCTTGAACCCAGTAGCCCAGGATAGGGAGGGCTAGAAGGGAATAGCGGGGAACACCAGAGTAATGGGCGTAATAAGTCTGAGGGAACATATGCCCAATTCGAGTCAAATTGTGGTGAAGATGGGCAGTGAGAAGAGCCACAGCTTGAGATGACATCAGGCCATGACTGGTTGCCAGTTGTGCAAAGGATGAGACTGTCTGGAATGACACGGAAATACTAGCTTTCCCACAGCGTCAGGTGGTGCCCCGGGGGGAGAAAAACCTGGATACAGAGGGAGATCTTAGGCAGAGGGGTTGGAAGGAAGCAGGCGAGCTGGACAAGACCTCTAGCTCTAGTGGGCGGGGCAGGCTCACCAGGGGCATGGAAGGTGCAAAACTGGATGTTCGTGCTCTCACTGGACCTGTGCCATTTCCTGCCAGTCACCTGGGCAATGCAGGGAATGCCAAGACTGGCCCAAGCCCACCGGCTTGCTGTGAGGACTAACAAAAATCCAGCAGAGCTATAAGCTGTTTTGGCTGTGTGACATGGGAGGGGAGCTCCTGGATGCTGGGCCAAGTGGGGTTGATTTTCCAAGGTAAGGCAGCTTGGAGTGAAGCACTCTAATTTTTAGGATGTTTTCCTCTGGGTTGGACTGAAATTTGCCTTCTTTGAGCTTTTCCCTGGTCCTCATGCCCCCTTTTGGAATTCCTTGATCAGTCCCAAGGAAGTTTGTGTCAACACCATTCTGGGCCCATGGCAGCCAATAATAAGCCCCCTTTGGGCAGGTGCTTATGCTTTGTGAGATATCAGGAAGGTTATGGCAAAAACGTGCCTAATAGCGCTTCCCCTGGTTTCAGCTAGCCTGTTCTATATCAGATATTTCCATGGAAAGCAACCCTGCCGGGGATGCAGGTAGGGTCTGTAGTACTTTACCACCAAGCTCCTCATCCCCAAACTTCTGTGTCCCTTCTCAAGCTCGCAATTCAAGGCACTATCTCAAACAGCAATGTCCTTCTCCTTTCCTTTGGTCTGGCCTTATAAACCCATCGCTGGGATTTCTCTCCATTGTGGTGTTCATCCTCTTGCAGAATTTTAAACATACTGAACATGTGTTTGGATTGTCTCTCATTGAATGAAATATATCTTGCTTCTCTATGAACCTGCCATGTGGATCAGAAGGGCATTAATTTATTTTATGTGAACAGAAACCTAAAGCACAAGGAACTTGGAGATGGAAATGTTTTCTGTGCTAGGTGCCAAAGCAGGGTAACAATAAATAAGGGAGCCATCTCATTCAATCCAAACCAAAAGAAAAACAAAAAAATAACTATCATTGTTCTGGGCAGAGCAGCATCTTTAAGAATGAATAACAATGAAGCACACATATTGGCAAGTCTGCCTGTGGTCACTTTGGCGAATTTGTATAAATGATACTCTTAAGTCCTAACCGGGATTTGAAACATGGCTCCTTTTAAAACGGACACAAGCCTTTTGTTGTTCACTCTGCTTTATAGTAACGCTCAGCTACAGACAGCAAACAGTTGGAATAATCTAGAAGTTATAGAAGGAAATTGGAAAGTTTGGCTAAAAGGGCTTGTGTCTTTTGAGCCAAACACTTCCTATGTCATTGTAGTTGCCTGTTTATGGATTTCTGAGAAATTAAAAATAATGTGCCATTATTACAGCAGGCACTGACACCAAAGAGAAAGGACAAGCCACACCAAAGAGAAAAAGAACAAGCAGGAAAATTGCACAAAAAGGAACTCAGAAAGAGGGGTAGGATTGCTTTTTCTGCCCAACTAAAAATGATCAGAAGAAATGGGGAAATGGGGTTTTCTCAATCTAGAGAATAATCTTTTTTTTTTTTTTTTTTTTTTTTTTTTTTAGTTCACAGCTGGTTATCCCCAATTCTCTTCATTTTACTAGAATTTCTAATCACATTAAATATCTCAGCAGTGGGGAACCTGGGTGGCTCAGCTGGTTAAGCATCTGTGTTCAGCTCAGGTCATGATCCTAAGGTCCTGCGATGGAGCCCTGCTTTGGGTTCCCTGCTCAGCGGGGAGCCTGCTTCTCTCTTTTCCTGCCCCACCCCCACCCACACCACCCTCCTGCCCCGGTCATGCTCTTTCTCAAATAAATATATAAACTCTTTAAAAAAAATCTCAGCAGTGAATTATCATTAACAGTATAGTTTAAAAATTTCTACCTGGAGAATTTCTATACATACACTTACTCCAAGTTTAAGTATATATATTATATAATATTTTTATATTATATATTGTAAATATATTAACAGAAATATAGATATTTGACAAATACTTTTTTCTTTGATGTTATTGATGCTCTATCTGTTCATTTTATGCGAATGTATTTCTTTTACAAACCACCTTTCTTCCTTTAACATTTGAACTGGGAACTCCATTTCCATTAATTCCCATTCTACCAAAAAATAAACCCTTTTTAAAGTCAGGCTAAACATATTTTTTCTTTACTTTTGATCCTCTTAATAACTGACATTCAAGTAGGTTACGTCCTACTTCCAGAAAACGGCCTGTGCACACTGAGAAATACAGAGAACGGAGTTGATTTTTTAAAAAAGTCCTTCGTCATTCTCTATTTTTTAAAGTATTGAAAATATTAAAAATTGTTGCCCACACACGATTTTGCTTCTTCCAGAGTAAAGAAATAGGGATTTATGGTGAAACCTAACTCCTGGAGGAAAGATAATGACGATTTAAAAGGAAAAACAAAGCACAAGCAGAGTGAACTATGATAGCTTTGTAAATGAGGTCAAAAGAGAGAAACCTGTTGTCAGTATTCCTTTAAGGCACCTAGTAAACGTTTCCAAACTAAGGAAGTCTAAATTTTAAAAACTTGCTTTCTGAACTTTCATTGATAGAAGGGAACGAGATTAGAAATCCCAGCAAACCATTCCTGCCTAATATTTTTCCTCATTCTTTTTGGGTAAGGTAAGATTTTTCATTGATTTTCACAACACTGTCAAATAAATTTTACCTAGATTTTCTAAAGTAGGAGTTTAGCAGGGACAGAGGCCCAGAATAGAAGCATCGGGGAGCTTGTAGGAATGTTAATTGCATCAATTAACTCTAAATGCCTCCCAGATAATCCTTTCTTAATTCTTCTGAACAATACTATAAAGCATGTATTATTTTTCTCCCCATTTTACAGAGAAGGAAAAGTGAGCCTACAAGAGATTCAGCAACCTGCTGAAAGCGGAACTGGTGTTCAAACAGAGGTTCCCATGTGTCTAAAGCTAAGTACCAAATGACTCCCATGTGGGGTTGAACAAGCTGCTAGAAAGGTAGAGAACCTGATGAGGAGACAGGGCTGAAAATGGTGCCTTCAGAGTGAAATCTACATTCAGCCCTGGGAAGGGATTGGAACATGGCATTATTCCTTAAACTTCCTTGATGATGAGACTCACCTGGGCAATTGTTGGAAATACCTGGTCCTTCTCAGGTCTGCTGAATCCCTGTCTCCTCACAGAGGAACCTAGAGGAGTCTGATGATCAAAGAAACAGAAGCTCTGGACGCGGGTCACAATTCTGGCTTCCCATTAGAACTGCATGGAGAGAGGTACCTGGCTGGCTTGGTGGGTAGAGTGTGCAACAACTCTTGATCTCCACGTGGTGAGTTCAGTCTCCATGTTGGGAGTAGAGATTACTTAAAAACAAAATCTTGGGCGCCTGGGTGGCTCAGTGGGTTAAGCCTCTGCCTCCGGCTCAGGTCATGATCTCAGTGTCCTGGGATCAAGCCCTACATCGGGCTCTCTGCTCAGCAGGGAGCCTGCTTCCCTTCCTCTCTCTCTGCCTGCCTCTCTGCCTACTTGTGATCTCTGTCAAATAAATTAATAAAAATCTTTTAAAAAACCCATATTTTTTTAAAAAGAGAAAGAAAATCCTATGAAGAGCTCTTTGTAAATACTAATGCCTGGGCCCCACTCCTCAATTAAATTATAATCTGGGACAAGAGTAGGGTATAGGAGTGTGGATTATTAGGCTTAAAAAGGTCCCCCAGGTGATTCCCGTGGGAAGTGAGCGTAGGGGTTCTGGCTGGCTCAGTCAGAACGGTGTGTGACTCTTGATTTTGGGGTGGTGCGCTCAAGCCTCATGTTGGGTGTAAAGATTATTTAAATAGATAAAACTTTTAAAAAAAAGAGGAAGTCAGGGTTGCAATCACAGATACATGGTTAGAGATGAAAATAGATATTTCCCTTTCCTGGATTCATAAAGCTCATCAACGAAACTCTTTTACAGCAGTTTTTGCATGCTACTTGATTTGTAAATATTTGCATTATCTGTTTTGACAATGACATTGCATTGTAGCCTTGAAGGGCAGACACTTATTAACTTTATCACCCACATACTTGGGACTGTGATATTGAATAAACATTTATTTGCTCTGTGCATGTAGATATTCAAAGGATATCCTTGGCAATTCTGTTCAAGGACAAGATAGATTTTATATATATATATATATATATATATATATATATATATATATCATGGACACTACAAATTCACCTGAAGGGGACTCACTTCTCTTTCTGTTCTATGAATCAACAAGAGTCAATGCTTAGCAGTTTGTCCTCTGCCGGCTGTCCGGGGAGATTTGGCCCTCCAGGTCATTGTCGTGGCCAGTGCCAGGAATGGCTTGTGGGTCTTTTCGAACAGCGTCTACCTTGGCTTCCCCTGAGTCCAGGCTGGCCCTTGGTTGTTGTTTGGTCAGTGGAATGTGGCATCTGGGGCCTTCTAGTGCTAGGTCTTGAGAATTCTTGCAGCTGGCTTCTGGAGCTCTGGGACCATTCATGGAGCCTGACAACTGTGAGACCACCATGCTCAAGAGAACGCAGGGAGAGTTCCTGAAATAACAAGAAGAGACATCCGGCCAGCCCCCAATGCATCTCTAGCAAGAAGGTCGAAAGATTCAAAGCCCTCTTTAATTTGCCAAAATGCATTTCAGAAATGTCACTATGATGCCTTATCTATAATATAAAGAAAAATAAAACTTCTTTACAATAAAATAATACGTATTTCAATGTTGAATGCCTCTGGTAAAGCACAGAACCATAGGCAGAAGGAAGAGTGCATGTGGGTATAAAATCACGGAAGAATACAAAGCTGCAAATTCAGGCTCTCACAGGTGTGTGGCGTTGGCAACCGAAATGCCACAGGTAAGATCGATCGCCTTCGGTGGCTTTTGGAAAGAATAAATACAGTTGTGTACAGTTCTAAACAAAGTCAAATGCAATATTTCTTGATTTTTACATGTTAGGTGAATCCCTGGAAAATTCGGTATGTATTTAAAACAGTATTAAACTTGCCTTGGGTTTAGGAGTTCCGGTTTCGGGTAAATGGGATTACGAAAGGCCAGAATTGGAACTACCACCAAACTGCCAGGGAGTTTCCTATTTTTGTCCCTTCCAGTCCCCCTACCCGGACTCAAGGTAGTCTGAAATGTGGACGTGGGCCTCAGTCAGAAAGAGCTCCAGGAAAACCTCTCTAGCTCTGGCTGAAGCAACTGGAAGGGGGATTCCGAAAAGTCAGAATTTTAGGGGGAAACACCCTGTTTTCCTTCTTTCTCCATTCTCTTGAGCCCCAGGCCTCAGGCAAGCCCAGTCACACAGCGGCGGTGTGAGCCTCCCGTCAAGTATCTAACATCTAGGTGGGGGAGTCTTCCTCTGTAATCAGAGAAATTGTGATCCCAAGAGGGGGAGCAAACTTCCAGTGCTTTTTCTCCCTTTTTCCTCCCATCTCTTGGTCGCAGAGTTAGGCACCATTCTGAGAAGCGTGCGGTATAGGGGGTTACATTTGCCTCAGCTTTCAAAATGGAGGACCACAAATGGGAACTGTAGGGAACTAGGAAGTACCAGCATCATGGTGGGAAGGGAACATCTCGGGGGGAAAGTGTGTGAACTGCTGGGCTCCCCTCTGAGCTACACAGGCATGGATCTGACCCTAAACATTGTACTAAAAACTTTGAGAACTGAAATATGGGTTAGAAACCACCTAGGTTGCAGGCCAGCCACTAGGTGATGTATACATAGGACAGATCCAAATAGCACAGCAAAGATTTTGAAAACGGAAACTGACATTGGAAAAACAATGGAAGCAGAAAAAACAATGGAACAAAAAAGAGAGCTAATGAGTAGACTTCCATAAGTATGGTCATTTTCTGCAAAGAAGCAAAGGCAAGTCAATGGAGAAAAGATAGTAAGTGGTATTGGGACAGTTGGTCAGCTGTATGCACCAAAAAATAGAAATAAATAAAAATAACCTAACCTTCCCAACTCAGACAAAAAGTAGCTCAAAATGGATTACAAATCTAAATGTAAAACACAAACCTATGAAAATCTTAGAAGTCAACATAACCTTTGTGATCTGGAGTTAGGCAGAATTCTTTTACATGATGTCAAAAACCATAATCCTTTAAAAAATTAGTAGATTAGACTTCATTAAAATTCTACAAAAGGCCCTTTTAGGAGAAGGAAAACATGAACTGTAGGCTTGGAGGAAATATTTTCAAATTGCACATCTTATAATGGACCTGTATCCAGAATATATAAAGAAAATGAACAGCCCAAATTACACATGTGCCAAAGACTCGAATACTTCACGAAAGAGAATATATGCAGGGGTGCCTGGCTGGCTCAGTGGGTTAAGCCTCTGCCTTTGGCTCAGGTCATGATCCCAGGGTCCTGGGATGGAGCCCCTCACTGGGCTCTCTGCTCAGCGGGGAGCCTGCTTCCTCCTCTCTCTCTGCCTGCTTCTCTGCCTACTTGTGATCTCTGTCTGTCAAATAAATAAGTAAAATCTTAAAAAAAAAAAAACCTAGAGAATATATGCAGATGGCAAATGAGTAGATGAAAACCTATATATGTGTTAAAATTATGCATCCCCCAAATTAAGTTAATGTTAATTTAAAAAATACAATTAAAAAATACTTTGGTGTTTCTATGGAAAACAGAGTTAGAGTCTGGGCTTAGATAATTACAAACTTTGCCTAGTGCCTTTGTGCAGTACAAAAATTAACATGAACACGGGGCAGCTTTGACTCTAGCATCCCCGGCTCGTAACTTCAAAATGCATCCCCATTCCTCATGCCAAACAGACAAATTCAATACTCCATAATTTCCCAAAAAGGTCTTCAAGAGCTGCAGTGGCTTCCCTTAAGAACAACTATCCTAGGGGCACCTGGGTGGCTCAGTGGGTTAGGCCTCCGCCTGCGGCTCAGGTCATGATCTCAGGGTCCTGGGATCGAGCCCCGCGTCTGATTCTCTGCTCAGTGGGGAACCTGCTTTCCCCTCTCTTTGCCTACCTGTGATCTCTGTCAAATAAATAAATAAAATCTTAAAAACAAAACAAAACCAGAACAACTATCCTAGTCCCCTGGGACCTTATGCATAAATAATCACTAAGTCAGAAAGCTATTGCTTGAACTGAATCATGATAAACCTTTCTTTGGGTTACTTGCACTTTACCTGTAAAATACCCAGCTCAGGGCCTGGTACCCAGTGCACTTTCAATAAATAGAGGTTGTAATTATAGCACTAGGACACTGAGATGTTCTACAGGCAAATGGCATTGCCTGAAGAAGTAAAGAGCATTTCAGGCCAGTAGGAGCTAATTTTAAAGAGGCGAGGAGGAGCAGGGGAAGGACCGTCCCACCTCTCTGCAAATTCCATCACCACTTCCTGTAGGGTTGGTTGTACTTCTTTTCCTCTCCTCAATTTCAGAAGTGGCTAGAATCTATTATACACCAGCTTCAAAGGTCAACTCATCTTTGACAAACTGCAGATAATTGAATATTTGATGTACTGGGCCCCAGGGTTGATTTTAATCAAGTGCGTTTAAAGAGATAACATTAAAAAAATTCTCTCTTAGTAAGTTCACTGTAATAGCAACCCCAAATGAAGAAATCTCAGCCCTGTAAATGAATAATGATAACATACGTGTCGTGTAAAATACACATTTATTTATAATTATGTTTGTTACGTGCAATTATTCATAATTATATCTTGGACCCAGCAACACTTTTATTAGTTAAGCTGTAAGCGTTTTATGAAAGACTACATACCTTCTCTCCTTACAAGAGGGAATGCTCCCTGAATGGCTGCGTGTGAGTGTGTGAGAAGGTCCTGCTCCAGGATGCCTTAAAGGATGTTCAACTCATCCACATCATTCATGGTGCCTTAAAAAAAGGCACACTAGACCCAAATAGCCAGAGAAACTACTGAATTGTACATAACCCCACCTCAACATTTTCACAAATCTGAAATGCAAAACTGTCTTAAAATTATTGGCAAAGCGTTCGCAGTGATGGCCATTGTCTTCAAATATGTGACTTTGCTTATTTCTAGTTAAATAACTGGACATCTGCAATCCATGATATTGAGTCAGTAAGCCATTTAAGGTTCGTCTGCACAGGGAATATGAATCCTGGTGTGACCAGAAAATTTTCCATTGATACCGTACCTTATCAAGAAAGTGTCAGCAATGTCTGCATGGAGTGCGGGTT